TTGTTCTCTTACAGAGTGACAAGTTGGGGAGGAGGTGGAGACAGACTGGAGAAGAGAAACCTTTGGTGGGGAGTTTTAATTAATTTATTGTGGGGAGTATAGCAGAGTCTCCCCTCTGTCTGTCTTCTGCCTTTCATTACTAAGCCTGACAGTGCTCATTAAAACTTAACCTTAGGATCTGAACGAGGGTTGAGCCCACCACTCAGTAGGCCCAAAGGGAGCTAGCAAGTGTACCTGGAGATGATGCCGAGAGGACAAATGGGGTTGACCCTGGGCAATAAAACAGTTGTCCTCTCTGTTAGCATTGCTTGCTTCCTGGTATCTCTTCCATCAGTTTGTGAATTTCTTAAAATAGGAATTTTGTTAAAACTGTTCACTACCTGTGCAGAATACTGCACTGTGCTAGAAACTTTTTGTTAAACATATACACTAATAGATTTATGTATATTTACATATTTTATAGACAGAGGAAAATAATGTTGAAATTTCATTGTTACTTAGAAAAAAATTATTTTAAAATATAATTATGTTTATTATAAAAATATGAGCTTATGTGCAATAATAATATGTTCTCTTGGACCAAAATTAAAATTCTTATAAAAATCAGTTTTTACTTGTTCATGATTATACATAGGCTAGAAAATAAAGAAAAGTTTTTTCTGTTTCTTAACTAATTATAAATTTAGGTTAGTTAATCCTAAGTAACAAACCAAGTCCCCACCTTCACAAGAGAAGCTAAGCAGCTTAATTTATTCTTAAAGGATATCTTTTTAGACTGTGAGTTGACTGTTAATGGGTAAAATGATTTATTTTGGATTTTCTAAATAATTTGTTCTAGAATATGCAGAAACCTGTGGGAAAATTACTTCTTTAAAAGCTCATGGCTTTTTGTTATCTATTTTAAAAATAAGGATTTGAAACTATTCCATAATGCTATAAATATAGCATAATTTTAGTCCATAAACTTCAATTGCTTCATTATAGCTGTTTTGAGGATTAAATGATATAATGAATTCCTTTAAAGCACTTGGCATAGTGCGAGGCCTCCAAAAACTGGTAGCTATTATCATTGTTAATATTAATGTATTTGAATTTAACATGTGAGAATGTAAGTTGAGATGTTCTTTGTTTTCTGTAGCTAAGGCAAAATCCAGCCCACTGCTTACTTTTGTAAATAAAGTTTTATTGGAACACAGCCATCTTGAGACCACACACACTTTCATACCATAATGGCAGAGTTGAAGATCTGAGACAGAGGGCAGATAGCCTGCAAAATGGTTGTCTCTTCAAGAAAGTATGGTACCCTTGGCTTAATCTCAAGTCATTTTTATAAGCTTTTTAAAAAACAAAAACTTTTGGCTTAGGGCATGGCTCAAGCTGTAGAGCACCTGCTTAGCAAGCATGAAGCCTGAGTTAAAACCCTAGTACTGTACCCCCCCAAATTAATAAGCAAGAATTTTATGAAAAGTAAGTTTAATTAAAATGACTTATCCACACTCGCTTGAAACAAATCACTGGCTTATATACAAATTTTGACTTAAAGAAAAGTAATTGGTGTAATTTGAATAAAGGCCAATTATACTTTGAGAAACTCAAACATTCAGAGTCAATCAATCCATCCAGGAGAAGAAATTCTGAATGCTTAAGTAGTTCAACAATAAGCAGAAGTGGTCTATATGATTATTTAAAGTTAACTCGATCACCACCACTTAATTTATTAATTTATTTTCTTTCCAGGATTTCAAAGTTACTTTGTTTGCTTACCTATTTGTCCCTTTATTGAGATGAATTGACATGTGCAAAGCTGTATTTGTGTAATACATTGACTTAGTGAGTTTGGAAATAAGTGTGTAACCAAACTATTATCATCAATGCATAGACATAACCGTTTCCTCAAAAAGTGTCCTCTTGTACCCATTATTGATTTTTTTTTTTTTTTGGTGGTACTGGGGTATGAACTTAGGGCCTCACACTTGCGAGGCAGGCACTTGAAGCTACTCTGCCAGCCCTTTTATGTGTTGGGTATTTTTGAGATAGGGTCTTTCAAGCTATTTGCCTGGGCTGGCCTTTAACCAAGATCCTGATGATCTAAGCCTCCCAAGTAGCTCTGATGATAGGTGTGAGCCACTGGCACCCAGCTAAAACTTGTATTTTTATAGATTGTTTTATTTTAGTCAACTTCTTAATTATTTTGGTTGGACTGGGGTTTGAACTTAGGGCTTCATACTTGCAAAGCTGGTACTCTTACCACTTAAGCCACACCTCCAGACTGTTCTTCTTATTATTAGTAGTAAGAACACTTAACATCAGATCTATACTCTTAGAAAACTTTATGTATACAAATCATAATGGTTAGCCGTGGACACTGTGCTTATATTTAGTTCCAGGAGTTAATTCACTACCTAATTTATTAAGATTCAGTCTATTTTTGGTGGTTTGGGAAGGAGGCCACAAACAAATATGGAGCATAAAATATATACTAGTTTCGACTATATAGCCTCTACCTCTGTTGATTTTAATTTTAATATTATATACAAAACCTGAAAATGAAAAGGACTTATCAACCACCCGGTACTCTACCAGTGCACTGAAACAGTAATCAATGACTCTATAATATAAATTGTTTGATATTTTGTAGGAATTTCTTACAGTGTCATGACAAATGGTTTGGCACAAATAAACACTAGGAATGGGATGAATTTTTGTAGCTGCAAAAATTGGGCAAAGGATTCCATTTCTTTGAGCTCCCACTGTAGATGGTCTATTCACTGGCTCTAAAGGATTGATTTGCATGAGGAGTGCTTACCCTGGGCTGGCTTTAGGAGCAGTGTCCCTGTGTTTCTAAGGCCCAAATTTCCTCAGGAGCAATGCAGATTGCACCTCCCAAAGTGATTAGCCTAATCTGCACCACCTGTGCTCATCTTTGTCCTTATTCCTTGGCATTTTTAAATCTAATTGTTGGTGCTCATATGTATAAACCTTCCACCTCAGCTAGGTCTTGAGTTATGGCCTTTCACATAGCTGGAATTACAGGTGTGTGCCACCACAGCTAAACCTTGCTTGTTCATTCTCCTTTTGTTTTCATATCCAATCTAGCCTGCCTCCTTCATTTCAACTCCTTTGTGAGTCACCCATATTCATTTATCTCCTTGTCTTCAGAGCTATCAGAATGAAAAAAAAAAACCCTAAGGCCAGATCCATTTGAATATTGCCATTCTCCTTTATTATACAAGATATAAAAAGTCATGTATCTTTCTAAATTGGTATCATAGATTTATAGTCCCAAAATTCATATCTTCAGCATTGCAGTTACTCAACCTATTATTAGTATTTTTTGTTCACTCTATATTCAACTTCTACTCAAGCCTCCCACTTTATTGTTTCATTATCAGACTTATATCCATATTGCTTCCTACTTCCTAAGGAAAATGGAACTCAGTAGGGATTCCCAACACCTTATCTTTGTGTCAGAATTTTACCTGAAAACATCACTATTGGTCCATGTTTTGTGTGCTGGTTTTACAGCAATATTACACCCATTTCTCAGTGCTGTTCTGGATATAATTTCTTCCTGAGTTCCTACCATGACTTGTCCATAGTATACAAATCTTATTATTTACTGTCAATATTTCTTGCTGGACTATAAGCTCCATATAACAGGTGTCACATCACAGTGACTCCATGCCAATAAAAGTTTGGTATTAATGTCTTATTATAGGAAATAAACCTCCACAAAGAAGGAAATTCATAAGTGACTTCATTAGTTCCTTGACATTCTCATAGATGTCTATATCATTTCTTTTTTATAAAAATTGATGTATAGTCTGAATTTTTATTAATTAAAGCTATTTTTAATGTGTTGGGAGAATGCCGGGTACCTAAGAAAATGCAACCAGAAGATATATTGATTTTATATGAAATATGTTTTTGTAATAAAAATAATTGGGTTGTAACTTTTTTCTTTTTAAGTTTACTTTTTTATATATGGATTTCTTGAAGTATAGCATGGCTGAATATGCATATCACACTTATATTTCAATCATATACTTCCATAAGTAAAAAACCATTGAATTCTGATATAATTTTTTCATAATGAAAAAAACAGTGGTCTCTGGAAACTATTAAAATATTTAAGAATCAACTATTTTAAAAATCACAGATAATAATTTCTTTTCCAAATCTCTATGGCTAGAAGCTTGGCTCAAGCAGTAGAGAACTTGTGTCTAGTAGCTCGAAACCCTGAGTTCAAACCTCAAACATCACCCCCCAACAAAAGCAACCAAACAAAACCCCCAAAACTCTAATATGATATGCTGGATGCTAGAGAGATGCTTATTGCATCACAAAACCTGCCTGCTACTTATTTGACATCTTTTCTTTTTTAGTTTTATTTTAAATAGACACATCATAATCAAACAAATGTATGGGGTATCGTGATGTTCTGAAACATGCATTCATTGTGCAGTGATCAAATCAGCATAATTAGCACTTCCATTACTTCTTTGTTATGATATGTGTGGTGATTTGATATCTTCAGTCCAGGTTTTAACACCTCGGTTTCTGGTGCAGTAATTATCGGACTATCTCTTTCACTTTCCCGTCAGCCTCCTCCTTGGTGTTGTTGAGTTGACTCGCCTATTTATAGCCTTCTGAAGGTGTGCTTGCTTACATTAGTAGCAAACAAGCTAATGCGACATGAGAGAGAGGGAGAGAAAATCAGAGGTGGGGAGGAAAACAGCAAGACATCCAGTAAGACCCAGGGAAAAAGGGTTACCCTGGCAACGCGACATACTGTGGGGAAGATTGCTCAGGCTCATGGGGACAGGAAATGAATCAGACAATACAGTGACCGGGGGATCACTTATGAAGTCCACAGTGAATCAGCTTTGGTGGCAGTCAAGTAATTAACACACCGAAATTAATTTCCATGTTCATAAAAGGCCCTCTCTGAGGCTCCCCTTAACCCTGCTTGGTGATGTTCACTCCAGTGGGCTTCTTACCTCTGCGAGGTAGAACTCGTCATACTGTCTTCTGAAGTTCTCCCCCTTGTAGTAGTTGCTGGCAGCAACTATCACATCCACGGTCACCATGCTCAAGATGAACATGTGGAAAACTGAAGACCTCATCATTTTCTGAGGAGGCAAAACAAATACACTCTTAGCAAAGAAATACGCCTCATGATTAAGTGTGATTCTTGTGCTGACACCTTGAAGGGCAGCTTAAAGATGACTGGAAGGATGGTTGGGAGATCTTCAGTTAAAAAAGGAAGTGGATTTCATTTGCATACTGCTTGGAAGTGATTCCGATTTTATGGGTAAGGAAACTGAGGCTCAGAAAAGTGAAGAAACTTTCCCACTGTCACATAATTAGTGAAGCTGGACCCAGGAACTAGACCGAGTCTGATCCAGATCTACTGCCTGTAATAAGATGGAGAAATGCATTCAAAAGTGAGGGTTATTATAATGGCTGTCATGTATGTTTCAGGCCATTTTATACATGCTATTTATTTTATCTCTTTTAATTTCCACTATAGCTCTATATGATAGAATCTATGATTCGTATTTTAGAGAGTTTAGAGAGCTTAAGTTATTTGTTCAAGATTACACAGCAAGTATACAAAAGAGCCTGTTTCTGCACTTAAGCAGAAAAAAAAAAGTGCTTTCTGCCATTTTGCCCTGTTGTGAAGTAGAGAATATTTAAATGGAGGGAGAAGAGGATGAGGCTCTGGACAGCAGAAGGAAAAGAGAAAAGCTGTCCAAGGGAAGGAGCTGAACACTGACCACAAACCAGTGAGTCTCCTTACATAGTTGCCAACCGTGCAGGGGCTGCGTTACCGTGCATCCTCCCCCTGAGTTTTGTTTCTTCCCGTTACTTAAGGACCCCACGTGTGCCCTTGCCATTTCATCTGGCCTGAAAATTTCAGTCTTTGCAACCAAAAGAGCTTATTAAGTAAAGCACAGCCTGTGAACAGGATTAAGGAAAAGGTGCCTTCCAGGATCACTGTCTCTTCTGCATCTGTGTCTGGGCGGCTTCACTGCCCCACTGAGATCCTTAACAGCATGGGCTCCAGGCCAAATTGCCTGGGCTGAAACTCCATCACTCATGGGGCACCGTGTCCCTGGCCAGTTACTTAACCCTTGCTGTGCCTCAGTTTCCTCATCAGAAAAATGGAAACAATGAACCTATTCCAGAGGGTTATTACCAAATTTGAGTGAGTCAACATTTGTAAAGTGTTTAGAACAATACTTTCGCATTGCAGTTCTTATAAAGATTTTCAATAAAAATAAATGCAAGTCTTTGAATCACGTATTTTTCTGTCAGGAATGAAAAATTAATTGCTCAAGGTCACAGAATTAATTATCATGTGCATCTGACTGAGTCCAGAACCAAGGAGGTAAATAAACATGATGAAGTCCTAGTACTCTGAGAAATGTCAGAGCCACAGCAAGAGCACATTTTTAGCGAGGCTTCATGTCACCACGGCTATTGATGCATTCTTTCTGTGTGTGATAACAGATCAATTTTAATTCTAGAACCTGAAACTGTACAAGGGAACACTTCATAAACTCCTGGGACTGTTGTGCACATTCAGTAAAGTGACAACTGTGCAATGGCACCTAGTATCTCAAAATCAGGACATACTTTTGAATTGTTTCCAACATCATCTACAGGATTAAAAACAATCAGAAGCCATCCAGTTATTCTCATTGACAATTAAAACTTCTGTACTTGCTACTTGATAGGAGTCAATAGCTAGCAGAGGTTATTAGAAGTGATGTCAGAGTCTCATCCCGCTGCTGTCTATTGGGAAGGTTTCTGGAGTAGGGATGTCACTGGCCAAATGTGGATGCAACTGGGACCAGACTAGCAAGCAGAAGTTCTACTACAGTTTCCATCTTTTTCTTTGTCAGTTAAAAGTGAACAGTGAGAAATGAATGTTCTTACATTCACTTGGCTTTAACTTTACTCCCTAGATAATAAAAAATCAAGTTCCAGAACTGCCAATCAACATGTTTATGTGCACATCAACTTACTTGCAGGAACTACTGACCTTCATACCATAGATAAGCAAATCAGTTGGCAACTTTCTACTCTCATTAGAATTATCATTGTTATTGCATCTTTCTTTGCATTGAGAGAGTTAAATTCCATAACTATTATTCCTTTTCTATACTCTTTTCAACATAATGTTCTATTAAAAACACTTTAGCTGATTTCCATTTTATTTGCATGACAGGAAAGCCACAACTTTCCCTTTCTATTTTCCTTAGCTGTGGATTTATGTCTTAAGTAAACTGTTATTACTGAAAGGTCCAAACAAAGCTTTCAGCCATGGCTGTCAAAAAAACTTTTAAATTGGTTTTGTAACTGTCACAGCTTCACTTTGGTGCTGTCATTATAATTAGGTTGGTTTTTGTCTGAATGTCTACGTCTCCTTGTTGGTACAGAGTCATGAAAATAATCACTTACAATGGATTTTGATACGCTATAATCACCAGTGCTTAGCTGACTTTCTCCAAAGTAATAACTTTCAAATATTAAATAAGAATTAAGGTGATAAGTATGTGCAGTAGCTAAATTTAAATATTAAAATCAGTACCAGCTTTACTGCTAAAGCTGGTGACATGCCATTTGAACACAATTCAATCCAACCAATATTTGAAACTGACTATCAGTTTCCATAGTGCAAAATGGCTGACAACATTGCATTCTGACTCATGCTTATCTCTACAGTACAGTCTAAATTAATACCTTCAACTTTTATTTCCTTATAAAAATAAATATAAAGGAAAATACTAAAGTTGAATTGGCACCACAAAATATTATATAACTTGAGGTTTTTATAATCACATTATTTAACATAAATGTAAGATTTATCAACCATTTATATAGAGCGATGTATATGTATAGTCTTGTGTACATATATATAGACAGAAATATATTTCTATGTATAATACTTAAGTCTTTTCAAAAATATGCATGCAATTTTTAAAGCTTCCTTCAATTGCAATGTTATTTTAGTTTACATTTTCTTTAAAAAATCAGACAAGTTCTGTACATGTTTTTAGTTTGGCTTTGATACAGAACTACTTATTTGTGTATGTGACAGTTGGAATTACCAAAATATAAAGAAAAGACTATAACAGAATCATCCCCAAGGCAGCAAAATCTGTCATGAATGCTCTGGAGCCTTGTTACTCAAAGTGTAGTCCCTGGACCAGCAGCACCCAGGAGACTGTTAGAAATGTAGAATCTTAGGTCCCACCCCAGGCCTACTGAATCTGGATCTGCAACTTCATATAGGTCCTCAGATGATTCAAGTTGAATATTTTAAGTTTAAGATGCACTGTTGTAGATGAGTGGGGGGGATATACTTGAACAATAAAATTATTTACACTTCACAATTTCATGACTTTAAAACACTGTAATAACTGAAATAAAATATGACAAATATTACTGGAATATTATGATACTATGCTAGAATACTTGAACACAAAATTGAATGTTAAATCTCTCCCACACCCCCCCAATCCAACTAAGGCCAAGAATCCACTAAAACATTTAGACAAAAGTATGTGCTGTTGGTCTTTGTTTCTTCCAGCCTTCTGGGGGGCTTTATGAATATACCATCACAGACTGTTTCCTGAAGTCAAGGGATGCAGATGGCTTTTTGGAACTGGAAAAAGGAAGGAGATAGTGTTTTCCTTGAAGTTTCCAAAAACAATTCAACATTGTGAATAACTTGCTTTTTGCCCAGTGAAAATCATTTCGGACTCCTGACCAGCAGAACTGTAAGATAACAATTTGTGTTGTTTTATCCCACTAAATTTGTAGGCATTTGTTTTAGCACAATAGGAAGTTATACATTATTGACAATGATTTTGACAGATACTAGCTCAAATCCTCTCCTATGCAATGTGATTGTACACAAGTTTCCAGTGCTGGAAAATTCTAAGAAAGGGTTCCACTCAAGGTGACTAGCCAGTAGGGGGCATGGTAAAATTTACTATTACAAATGTAAAATTGTGCCAGAAGATACAAGGGGACAATGAGTCTGAAAGAATAGTACCAAGTTAGACCTCAAGTAGAAGAAGAAAAGTCACTCTTTTAACATTAGTTTTGAGTCCTATTAATAAACGAAAGCTCTAAGCCAAACACTGACAAGGTTCCTCACTCAATGAAAACGGACACATCAGAGCTAATGCTTCTTTGAGTGCTTAGTTTCTATCAAGTGTTATTTCAAATATCTAGCATGCAGATGTTATAGCATCATTTGATCTTCAACAATCTTGTGAAATAGGTACTTTTCCTATTTCCTTTTTCCCAGAAGAAATAGGCTTCTCAAGAAGGATAGTAGTTTTTCCAGCTCACAGAGTTAGAAAGCATTCTCAGATGTTTTGGAATCAAAGCAGTCTTTCCTGCCTTCTTCCGAGCACTCAATGTGCACTTGACAGTGCTTTATTCACTAAAACCAATAAGAAGCAATTTCTTTACCAAGGGCTTGTGACAGAACAGAAGGCAGAAGTACATGAAGCCTGAGCTAGAAAGCTGAAGACCTGTTCCTTACTGAAGGAGGAAGATCACCATGGTGTAATGGAATTCCCAATTTGAAGACAGGTTGAGCTGAGTTTAAGTCTTTGGTGTGGGCCTGATTTAACTTCTCTGTGGCACAGTTGTCTCACATTGGAAATGGAGATGATAACATCTACATCTTCAGGTTGAAATATGAAGACTAATGGGACTAGTTGGATATGGTGTAGAGTCTAGCCCAGAGTAGGCATCTTGCATTCAGTAACTCTTATATACTGCATTGAAAAACACTCTAAGGGTTTAAAGCTACAGACACAATCAGTTTTTTTTGTGGGAAACTAAGACGGTATAACATGAGCAATTGAGTAGATGAAATAACAAATCTTATGACAGACGTGAAAATTTATAGACTTTCAAAATATCTAAAGCGATCTCATTTTTAATGGTATAAATGTGCAAGTACTTCATGCTAAAATCTTTCTATTAAGGTTCTTAGGTAATTATTTACTATGAATTAGTTCCTTAAAGACTCTAAATACTGTAGACAAAGAGGATATGATATATATAAATTAAGATAATGATGACTATGGTTTAGAAGTCA